CAGTCTGAACGGGACCAACTAAATCCATTTGCAGCAAGTCTAATGGCTGGGATGTTGATATGTAGGATATACTTTTGTGAGCACTCTTGACTTGCTTACCTAATTGGCATGCACCACACACTCTTGCAAACTTACCACTTAGCTTTGGCAGACCTCTGACACACTCCTTCTTGTACAACTTCAAGAGATCACGAAAGTTGATATGACCAAGTCTTCTATGCCATAGTTCCATCACGTCATCAGTAGCTCGGTTGCACACAAGACTTTTGTTCTCATTCACCTGAATACAATAGCAATTATCCTTGGATCTCATACCACTCATAATCTTTTTTCCTTGAAAATCAGTAACATAGCATTGATCTTTATCAAACCACACACTGTTACCATCATCACACAGTTGACTGATGCTTATCAAGTTTGCCTGCAAATTTTCCACCAGCATGACATTCTTTAGGAACGGTAAGCCAAGTGTCTCAACATCTCATTTTCCTAAAATTTTACCTTTACTTCCATCTCCAAATGTCACAGAGCCTTCCACACACTCGGTATTCAGATTTGTAAACCAACATTTATCACTGGACATATATCTTGAACAACCACTGTCGAAATTCCATGTATTAGATTTTCTAGCAGATAAAGCAGTTGAAGTCACCAAGCATTTTTCCTCCTTTTTTCTCCACACTAGTTTGGTTCTTTGAGGTGGATTAAAATTTCTTGGAGAATAACAGTAAGCTGACCTTTTCTTCTTTCTAAGCATATTGCATCTAGGCCGTATATGACCTAAAACCCACAAAAATGACAGATTGGTATAAATTTCTTTGGGTTAACCTTCACTTCAGTAGAAGAAGATATCCTTTCATAAATTTTACAGCTTTGACCTCTTTCTTAGACCTTTCACTTTCAAAACCCAAGGCTCTCGTATCACCAACCCTTTTTCCCAAACTTAACATCCTGTTAATCTTTTTTGCGCCAATGGTCATACCAAATACTTTTTCCGTTACAAATTTTAATTCAGCACTAGCATGATCCCTTTTGAGAGTAAGAGAAACATTCATATCTTTTTGCAGCTGGTACTTGTCTTGGAGCATTTGAATTTTTTCAAGCAGAGACCCACACAGATTTTCTTCTGTTTTCAGCTAGGATTGAAACGTAGTTTTAGTCCTGGTGGTTAGTTCTTCCTGAAGAAAGACCACTTGATCAGCAAGTTTTGTATTTTTCTTCTTCAGTTTTTCAGAGGAATCATAGCGACTGTTGAATTGCTTCATCACCACTTATATCTCAGGTTCTTCAACATCGGAATTTTCATCTTTTTGCGCATGAATTCTCCCAGAGAAAGCAACAACTTGATCTTCATTTTCTGAATTTGAATCATTATCAGACTCACTATCACTCCAAGTTGCCGCCATTACTTTATTTTTCCCACTATTTTGCTTCTTCAAATTATTTGCACATTCAGAGGCAAAGTGTCCATATCCACCACATTCAAAGCACTTCGGTTGATCTTTAGAGCCCCTTTTCTCCATAGTTCTGGTTGTATGCGATAACTTGTCAGAAGTAAACTCACGAGGACGACTCCCTCTTGTACTTGAACCTGAATTTCCTCTTTGTTCACCAGATCTTGAATTCTTAGATTTTAAAAACTTACGAAATTGTTTTGTAAGCAAAGCATAATCCATTTGTCTTCGGACACATTATCACTCCCATCTTCCTTCACTACATTTAGTGCAATGCCCTTGTTTTTCTTTATTTCTGGAAATTCCATCTCATAAGTGGTAAGAGAACCAATTAACTCAGTAAGTTTATAATTATTCAAATTTTTACACTCTTCAATCGCTATCTTCTTGGTGTGATACATCATAGGCAGGGATCTTAAAATCTTTTTCACTATTCTATGTTCTAGAATTGCATCACCAAGGTTGCTGCACGCATTCACCACCACACTCAATCTAACATAAAACTCTGCAAAATTTTCAGTTTCAAGCATCTTCATATTTTCAAACTTAGTCATCAGTTGTTAAAGTTTGGATTCTCTGACGGTGGCATTTCCTTCATAAGTAATTTCCAGAATATCCCAAGCCTCCTTTGAGGTTTTGCAGTGACATATAAACTCAAATTTTTCAGCCAATACCGCAGTGAAGATGGAGTTGAGACCTTTTTTATTGTAGGCACTCACATCATTTTCTTCATTGGTCCACTCCGTGTTTAGCTTAATTACAACCTTTGTTGTCGACTGACCTTCACCTTCAACCTCTTGTCCACATCCTTTAATTTCCTTTGTTGGAGGTTCCCAACCGTTCTCAATGGTTGTCTACACCTTTGTACCTTGAGCCCAAAGAAAAGACTTCATCTTGGCTTTCCAAGCCCCATGGTAGTATTCTCATCAAGAAACGGAGGATGAGTCACAGACCCAAATGCACAATCCATTCTAGCATAGCCCAACGATCTCACTAAGCATGTCTAGTGACCCGCTCTGATGCCAATTGAAATTCCTAGAATGGCCAGCCGATCTGTTTCTTAATACTCAAACACCACAGCAGGATTGAAATACTGCAACAATCCTATAAGCAAAAATTCCAAAATACGCAGCAGAATAAATTCAAATAAAAACATAAACAATTGCACAAAGGACACACGATATGTTGACGCAGTAAAAAACTTGAAGATGAGGAAAACAACTACGGGCACTATGTCGGAGAACAAATCACTATGAGAAAGAATGCTAAAAGGTCTTACAAGTCTCAACTCACAAGACTAACGCTCACAAGGCAGACTTGACTACTCGCCTTTGCTACTCAACCCAATCAACGATCTTGTCTTCCTTCGTCAACAAGAGATGGCACAACCTTGGTCTCGGCTGCTCACACCTCAAGGCACGATTGATGATCACCAACATGCATAATGCTCATGAACTCACACATATATGAAAAGATGATGATTTAATCACTCATGGAGGCTAACAAGGAACAGCCACATGAGTTTTCAATATGAACTCTCAAAAACCTCTCTGCAAATATTGTCGTTCTTAGCTATTCAACGTTGCACACCCAAAAAACAAAACGGCTAAATTCCTTTCTTATATTACACGCTTAAAAACTAGGTTAAAGACCAAAAAAAGGCTTTTAGCAAAAATGGGCTTTTTAACAAATAAAGCTATTTAATTAAAAACCCAGCTGTAAAGACAAAAGAACCCTTTTGCTTAAATAAACATCAAACTAAAGAGTATAAAACCATCATTAAAAACTCACTGATGTCTGGTACCGGATTATGTAAGACTGAAACCATATATCAGTCTATACATCTGACATCCAATTTTGATGATCTTGCAAATATGCAAATATGAATGCATGGATGCAAAACATACCTTGGCATTGTCTCTAAGTCACACTGATCCAGGATAGCAGAACACCACTTGAAACTGTAGGTTACACTCAAAGACCTACTCTATGTTTTTGTAACAGGAAATTACCAATATACCAAAAATAGGTCCTAACAAATTCTGAGGTGGGATGTTCATGACAAAGACAGTCCGATAAACTCTGGAAGCACCACCAGTGCCAAGATTTGATCATGGTCATTGTACTCTAATTCACGAGTAGTAGCTGTGTGAAAGGGAGACTCTAATAGAAATTCCTCCAAAGTTAAAGACAGTGAAAGCAGAACAATACCGAAGCCAATGCATCATCCTATTTTCAGAATTAGAAGCAAGTGGTAAAGTAATTTGGGCACGATGAGAGAAAAAAATCAAGAGGTTGCAGTTAATTTGAGCTTCTACAAAATAAGCTCCTTCATCATTGCACTCAAGTCAATTGAGACATCATCTGTGAGCCGCACAGCGAGTATGATAGAAATCAACCAGAGTTTTAGACAGAGACTTACGTAACTGGTTAGACCTCTAGCATGCTATCTTCTGGGAGGCTAAGTCTCCTTGAAAATGATATTTGCGAAGATAAGAGGAATTCCTTGGTCCAGCTTCAGGTTCTCTACCTTCATTTCTGTGTCACCGGTTTCCTTTGATTGCTTTGATTTACAGCTAGCTTCCTTAATATGCTCATATAACCTTTTGCAAGGCCATGAAAATTACATACTGTGGGCGCCAAATCCTTGAGAATTCATGCATTACATCGCTGGTTTCACATGGGCTACACAAATATTTGCAAAAATGATATTTTTGCCACCTGGAAACAATATTTGACAGTAAAATTGTTCTATGTTTTGAAAGGCTAGGTGCAGAGGTGAGGCATTTTTAGTTGAGCACGGCGAGGTGTAACCCCTGCACGTAGAAAATATAAAGGAACTACGTACTAGATGCATTTTGAGGAGTAAAACTCATTATTTCATCATAATTAGTTGTAGTCTTTTGTTATCAATGAATTTCACTTCGTACTGTCAAGTTTAATAGCTATGTGCATAAGGTAAATTTAGCCCATCTCAATTTGATATCCTGGATCCGTCCCTAGGACCACTCTTGAAAATTCACAGCATGCATAGAGTGAGCGCAGTGAAAGAATGTTTTAAAATTTCCTTTTCCTGCCAGTTCCAGTAACAAGTTTAGACTTCCTCTCATAAGGTTGCGTGACCACTTTAGCAGCAGGAAAATCATATACACAGTTATTTTCTTATGACCTGCAGCTGCAGCACTCAACGGCATGCGTGCTAAGTTAAGTCTTAGTCAAAACTAGAAGAACTCCTAGAAAGCTACCATCCAATAAATAAGTAAATTGATCCACGGCATGCCTCTCACTTGAGATCAGAAAATCTCCAGAGGCTTTATAACAGATTCATTCGTCCCCACCGATAACAATTGCCAGCTGACGGAAAATTATAAATAGCACAAAATACACGTACTACAGACACAAAAGTCGGTTTCCCAGATTAAATCCTGTCGGGGAAAATTGTAAATAGCAAACAAATATCTCCCTACACCCAAATGGGAACAGTTTTTTTTTTTTTTTTCATTAATGGGGTTGGGGAATTCAAACTTGAGATCTATTCCAACATCGGTGACCATCACAAAAAAACACTACAAATAAAGCATTACATTCTCCATAACATAAATAATGAGCTTACATAATTGTTTATTCATCAAACATTGATAAGCCTGTAACTACTGATAAATCACAGCATGCATCCAACGGACAGTTGAAATAACAAGTTTTTCTCATGACCTGCAGCACCGTTGTGCATGCATTTTAAGTTGTGTTTCAATCAAAGTTAGAAGCATTACCTGAAAACTATTATCCAAGTAAAGAATAAACAAGTGCTTTGGAGACAGAAACAGGTTACTCAACGGCAAATGATTCGAGAGGAGAAGCAATAAATAAGTAAACTGATCCCCAACATACCACTCTCTTGATCTCAGAAAATCTCCAGAAGTTTTCAAATAGATTCATTTTTCTCCACAGATAACAATTGCCAAATGACTCCTGAGTATCCCATTAAAGCTGGACCTTTTGTCCCTTAAGGAACCCAATCATCAGTCGCAGTTACTGAGTTTTCTTTTCTTTTTTTCATAAGACAAGAAATCCCATACTTACGGAATCACAACGACCATGTAATGATGCTTACCCAGGCCAGCTGCTTGTGGAGAACAATTACTAACAGAGCAGGAATAAAGGTCTGAAAACCATTCCAAGATACCATTAATATAGCGCGTACACACACATAAAAATCAAGAAAGTGTGTGAAACTTATATTTCATATGCTCTCTCTGCCATTGACTCAAAGAAAAGGTTAAGAGTTATAGGATTGGAAGATCGTTATGGTAGTGCACTCACTCTGGGTTCATCTCTTCGCAAGGCCACTAAGTAGAAAAATAAACTGAAACAGCAATAGAAGAGTAGACAAAAGAAACATATGGGTTAGAGAACTGATATCGTGAAAAGTAGACAAAATAAATTGTTGTTTTCACTCCTCTCCAGAATAGTTAATACTGAACCCGAACAGAAGCAAGATATGAGTGTATTCTATCAAAAGCAATTTTCCAAGCAAGACAGTGCAGCATCAAGGGGTTAAAAAGTTGCAACATCATACGTCCTGGATATCCACTTTTCCTTGGTATACGCACAACAACTGAGGTACTTCACCCAGATAACTGTCAACAAATCTCTCCAAAAACTCCTTCTCCACAGGTCCAAACACAGAATTTAAGCTCAGTCTTTCAGTATTTATCAATCCTTTCGACAACAAAACTCTAACAACCGAACACCTCGGGATGGTTCTCTGCTGCAAACTATACTTCAAAACATATGGGGACTTGAGAATTGTTTCTGACGACCATCCCATCTTGTTCACTAAAAGATCCATTGTTTGCATTATTTTCTTCTCTGACAGAGCAATACACTCCGGGCGCCTCCTGAAAACAGAGAGAACATCAGCCTCCGACCAACCCCACCTGCTATAAACTTCACAATTTCGCTTCAATATCGGCTTATAAAATGAACGACACATTATGCTTATTGCCGACACGGAAATCGACTTTTCCAGGTTAAAACCCATTTCCTTAACCTCTTTCACAACTTGGCGAAACTTTTCAGTATCATGTATCAAAGCATGCGTACAATGAGCTAGCAACAGAGAAATGCATGATTTAGGCATACCTAATTCTCTCAAAATCGCGACATTTGGCACGACTTTCTTGGTGTGGCCTTGCAAGAAAATCGACGAGTTGTACTTGAAAACAGAAACGATATTTTTCTCAGGAAGCAGACTCCTCAGGAAATTATAAGTGGGCACAAGCTGTTTCTCCAAGCTTCTTTGCAAAAGACTTGGATTCAGAACCAGCGTTTTTGCAAGGTCCTCCCTCGAAACTCCAAGAGAGCTGAAAAACTCAATCTTTGGCAAAAGGGTTTGCTCAGGGCTGGCTAAAAGAAGTTGTGGGCGAGTTTTGCAAAACTTTGAGATCTGGGTTTGAGAGAATCCATGGTTTCTTAGAAGTCCCAAAACGGAGTCTGCTTTTTCTGGGGACTGCAACTTGATCCATCTGGATGTTGAAATCGCATCTTCTGGGAACAACCCACATGAGGTTATGAGGTAATTGACGGTGAAACTGCGTTGGTCTTCTGAGATTTCTGAGGTGAACTGTCTACAGAGTATCCGATTTTGAAGAGAAAAATGTGAGGGTTTTAGATCTCCGGCAATCAATATTTCAGTTCTGGAAGCAAATTTAGAAGGAAATAGTACATAACCCAATCTGAGGCTCCTCAAGTTGGAGAGCGGTACCATGGTTGAGGTCGACGACGGTCAATTCCGAAAATTGAAAACCCCCAAGCCAGGTTTTAGCGATTACAAGTTGATGACTATATCAAAGGTGGGCTATTGTTGGAGTTGATGCGGTGGTGCAGCTGTGCGCGAAATGTTTAGAGTGAGAGGAAGCCGTTAAAACATTTTTTATGTGGACAGACCGGTACTTTGACTAAGGGGGAATATCCAATTCTAACTTTTAAAGACTTTTTTTAAGTCAGTGACTTTCCTAGAGTTGGCAAATTCTTAATGACTTTTATATACTTGATAAAGTTAAGTGACAAACTTTCATATACTTTTGTCATAGAGTTTTATAGACTTTTAAATAATTATTTTTATTGTTTTAAATTTTACGAATAGCATTTATCTTTTATGTTGAATGAACTAGTCGGCATACATGGAACAAAAAATTAGGGAAAAAAAAAAAAGAGGATACAAATCCTTATTAATTGTGTATATTTTCATAATAGCTTATTAGTAAAATGCATCCAATGCACCATTTAAATTTTTATTTATCAAATCTAATCACATAGATAAGTAACATATTCTTATCAAAAGAAATAACTATTACTCAATCACGAATAATATTTCATAAACACTCACAAACCAACAGAAATGGTCAGATTACAAGAGTCTATATTCCC